CAAAAAAACCCTATTTATTTCTTATATATATCGTTCTATCAAGTTTTAAGTAAGTATAGTTATCGTTTTTAGAAGCTAAATTTTTTATTATATTATAATTATTTAATAGTTTATTATTTTATTATATTTCATTGTACTAATTTTTTTATTACTTTTGTAGTTATAAAACGGAAGGCGGGTTGCTGCGTTTAGATGAAAATCATATATTGAGTCATTTTGCCGATACGGTAATAATTTTAAATTATGCTATGTTATTTATTGTGAATGTTTTATTCATTTATTTTTTTAGTATTACTTTATATTTTAATTTGTATACTATTTATTTAATTAGGTGAATAACCGTATATTAGATTTATTTATTCGTAACGCTAAATTAGAGATACCAAGTCGTGTCTGGTTGTATTTAGCTGAGGCTGGATTCGGTTACATAGCGAAATATGAAGGGCACTATAACCTTGAATTCAACCTTATTTCTGCAACCTTATTTCTGCATTGATTGAGAGGTGGAGACCAGATACACACACATTGCATCTTTCGTGTGGGGAGTGCACTATTATGCTGGAGGATGTTTCCTTACATTTGGGTAGATGGGGATGCTATTTCTGGTGTGGCGGATGGTGATTTGTATTCCTTGTGCGAGGAGTATCTTGGAGGTATCTCGCCTAATTTTAACGGTGGTCGAATACCGTCATCATGGTTGGCTAGAAATTTTCGACGGTTGAGCGACGACTGTTCCGAGAAACACGCTCAAATATTGCAACTCATGGAAGGGATCTTGATGCCCGATAAATCTCGCAACCAAGTCATTATATATGACATTTTTTAAAAGTAACGAAAATGAAACAACACAAACTGAGGCTTTATAAACAACAATTATATCGTCACAACATCAATTGTTACGTGATGATAAAAAAGATGAACATTTTTTCCTATTATGGCCTAGGTTTCTACAATGCCTACATCTTTTGTTTTCTTTGGATGTCTCTTGAATATCTATATCACAATGAATTTGAGTGAATTTTAGACAACATGTCTCCCTTAATAAGGACGGATATGGTACAATCAAAAGCTAATTCTGAACCTCATTTGGGTCTTTCTCATTACCTATAGGGGAACTCAAATTCTTATACTTTAAATACTTTTGAAAGTCGGTATACGGGATCCACAAAATGGTTATAGTCTTGACGGGTATAAGAGTAAGATGCTATGACAAGGGAGCATGGATACTTCAGAGCTTGAAAAAACCCACAATCACACCACCTGTCTTGTAGATTAACTCTGAATAAGTTAGCTTCAATCCCTTGAAGAGGTTGTGGCATTTCTGTGACACAAAATAATTCATGGGTTAGAGAGAAAGCTTCTTACAGACATTCTATTGATGCAACAATTATTTTTTGTAGATCTACAACTAATTTTGGGTGATAAGTATAGTCGTTTTGCATTCAAGTAAGAGCTTGTCCCCCGAGGTTTGCAATAAGTCATTTTAACCAAAGTTATTACTAGTAAATAGCGCCCCTTTAAAATTGAATTGATAGCCTTAGCCAAGTTGGTCGTCATGTGTCCATATCGATATCCACCATCGTATACATTTTTACACATTTCTTTGTTGATGAGGTTAATGTAGTTGTATCCTTGCTTATTTTTCCTCGTAAATCTTGAAGCATGAACTCAAACATTTGAGGTAATAGTTCGTAACCTGAGCATCAAATGTAATACTTACTGTTAAGTTCCCATAAAAAATGAAAATGATTGAGAAATGAAATTAGACATTGTGACATACCCATGCATATAAGTAATTGACGCTCATCATTATTCTTGAACTTTCCATGATAATTTGCAACAATATATTGGATACACTACTGATGTTGGACATAAGGTGACTGTCACATAGGACCTAAAGACTCCATTGTTGCTTTGATCCCATCTCTACGATCTGAAATGACACATATTTTTCCATCGTGACCACGTGTAAGCATAAGTTTTTTAGGAAAAAAACCCAAGAATATGTATATTCTTCTTCAACAAGGGAAAAACAACTGGAAGAATATTGTGATTACCATCTTGGACAACTGTCAATAATAAAATTTGCTTGTATTTTCTATACAAGAATGACCCATCAATTTGAACCACGGGCTTGCAGTATTTCACAACATTAATGCATTGCGGGTAAGTCCAAAAAAGCCAGTAGAATTGACATCAATCATGAAGTACTCGATCATTGTGGTATACACGACAAGTTTCAAAGTCTACTATTGTCCCAAGATTCAATATACACACTACCCTAAACCAACTTGGTAGTTCGTTGTAAGATGAATCTCACGTGCCGTGAAGTTTTTAAATGGTATTCTACTTTGATTTTCATGCTTTCCTATAGGAGACGGTGTAGCCATATTGAGACTTTGTAGCTGAAATCAACACCACAATAGCTATATGGGAGCTTACTTTGACCATGGGCATGATGGATTGACATATAATGTCGGAGTCCAAGTTGGGAAGGTCTTGGTTGATCCCTCTAGCACAACATGTATGAGGACATTTGTATATTTTTAGTTCTCATATGTTATTTTCCTCTTCCTCTTCTATACACAAACCATTCAGTTCCATCCGTTATCACGTTGGACACAATAGCAGACGTACTTTGCGATGGTGGATCGGCCAACACTGGAGTGAATAGAATTACGAATGTTGTAATTCTTAATTGCAATCATCAATTCTTCTTTAGATGAAAAATTCATTTTGATATATAACTTACCATCATTGATTGATGAGTTAAATCCGTAGTCACAACATTAGGCATATCCACAAATTATGGCCCATACATTGCACCATGGTTAGCTTGATACATGTGTGTTGGAGGTTTCGTGTGTACCATATTTTTGAGAACTTCATCTACATCATCATCAGAGTCCATGTTGAATTGCGGTGATTATGGCTCAATAAATAGTCCAATCTCAGCACTATCTGCACCTGAATCATGAAGAGGTTCTTCTGGTGAAGATGAGAGTTCCTCTGAAATGCTGATATTTAAGTCGAACAAGCTGGTAGTTGAATGCCTTACTCTTGAACTTGAAAATCATCGTGTTGTATGAGTTTTGAACTGAGTATTGTGTCGCAGACATCTCCATATTGAGTCGAAGAAGCTCGTAATTGAATGTCTCCCCTTGGAACTTGTAGGCATCATGTGAAATGAGTACTGGATAGATTGTTGTGTCGAGGGAATCTCTATATTCAGGTCAAAGAAATTGCCAGATGAATGTCTTCCCCTTGAATTGGAAGTGATGTTGCAATATGGATTATTTGTAGAGCCACCTAAGTGGAGATCGTAACAAGTTGCTAATGAATGTCTCCCCATTGAACTTGATGGGATGGTACCAGGATGTGAATTTTCCATTAACGAGTTAAAATCATTACACATTACTTGAGTTGGGCTGTCAACTTGATCAGCTTATTGAGCCAGCTCATAGTGGGAGAATAATGACATACCATGAACCGCAGACACTTCAACAAATGTGGCATACATTTGTGTATTGGTGTCTGAATTTTGATTCTAATATCAACCATCATAGTAACATCATCATCGTTGGAGAGTTAGAACGCTGTATAAGTTAAAAGAAATAATGCAGTTGGAAATTTGTACTGAAGTGAGGACAATCTTCTAGTACTTCCAACATAAACCTTCTTTGAAATTTTAGTGATCAACTCCTCAAGAGTGATGTTTCTCTTAAAGGATATTCTGACTGAATGATTTGATGAGAAAAAAAGCCAGTTTCATCTTCCCAATTTTCTTTATTATAGTAAACAATAGTTGAAATACGCCTCATTTTGAGAGTTTGAAAAATTAAGAGTCTTATATATACAAAAAAACTGAAATACACTTAATTAAATAAATAGTATATGAATTAAAATATAAACTAATGCTAAAAAATTCACAATAATTTAAATAACATAATTTAATGTTGTTATCGCATCGACCAAATGTCTCGAGATATGATCTCGCATTTCATTTTACAGCCGTAAAAATAATACAAAAAAATTAGTACAAAAAATTTGGTCAAATAATTAAATATAAAATAAATATAATATAATAAAAAATAATTTTACCTTCTAAAAACTATAACAAAATCTATTTAGCTTGATAGAAGGAATAATGTGAAAGTAATTTTGGTGTAATTTGATGTTTGCATTCGGGAGTATTTATAGGGGAGGGGGATGGGTGATCGAGAGAGTTGGATTAGGTAATAATGAATTTTGCAATAATTCGTGAATAATGGAAGGCGCGCCTCATGATCCACGCCTTCCCTGCACGTGTCAGATTTCATCGCGAAGGTGCGCTTCATAATCTGTGCCTTCCAACGTGGCGCCAGCTCAGACAGAACCTCGCGAAGGCATACTTCATGACCCGTGCTTTTTCATCGTGGTGCCAGCTCTGACAAAACCCTACGAAAACATGCCTCATGATCTGCGCTTTGTCAGAAAGAGTGCTAGATTGGTAATATTTAGAGAAGGAGTGTCTGACAGGTAATATTTCACTATTAGGGTGTTATTTTGGTAAAATTGCATGGAAACCCTACTTCCACATGCTGTCTATCTACCTTGCGCGTGACAATCAGGGAGTAAACATTGCGTCTGGTTTTGGAATTCCTCGCACAATAATGGGCAAGGGGATCGCATCCTTGCAAATAGGAACCGATCTTCACAGTTAATATTAAACCCCTTTACGGTCCCCCTTCCACCGTCGTTCTCCTCTCGAAGACGACGCCCTACTCCACTCATTTCATACGTCCCTGTACCAACTGCTCCGGTATCAAAAAAGGAAAATAATTAAATAAAAGATAACTTTATTTTTACAGAAAAAAACAGAGACAGAGAGCCTGGTTTATAAGACACAAACACATCTGTAGAGAGAAAAAATGAGTTCATTCTTTTGCCTCTCTTTTTGTTGTTAGAAAAGCTTTGAGATTATCACTGCTGTTTCTTTTCTTTTCTTTTTTTTTCTTTTATCAATTTCCCCTCTCTTTCCTGGAAATTAAAGTAATATTTTCCTAGAAAGCGATAGTGGAATTTTTCGACGAGGTGGTGTTAATTCAGGATCTGAGCTAGGGTTTCCGAAAATGTTGATCGGAAATTCAACTTTGCTTTGATTTTAGGTGGCTGATTCTGATTTGCCTCGATTGAGGGTTTTGTAACTTTGAATTGTTTTAGTTTTTTTCTTCATCTTCCAGTATTCATCAAACACTTCCGGTGGGAAGACCGTTGATTTCACGAGGGAGCCGGTGGTATTTATGCTAGCGAGCGAGTAAAAGCCTTTGGGAACTAGGGCTTTCTCTTCGCGGGGTTACAATTGCCCGTCTTTGGCATACTACTTCGTTGACATTCTTCTATTAAGTAGCAGTAAGTGCTATTAGAGAAGTAGTAGTAAGTAAGTTAGCAGTAAAATTCCAAGCTCAAGCTTACACTTTAAATGAAAGAGCTTTAGCATTAAGGAAAGATACGTTACCTACTTTATCTACGATTTGTTGAACCTAGGGCTTAATTTGGAAACGGTAAAGAAATGGATGTAGATTCGTCGATGGTGTAAAAGACCGGCCACGATCAGAATCGCGACGGAGCTTCTCTGTCTTCGTCGCCTATGGAGAGGGAGGAACAGTAACAAAATCAGCAAGTAGAGAACCAGGCTTCACCACCAGCATCCGTCGGATCTGAGCCCTCTTCGACGCAACAGACTGCATCTACCCCACCCGCTATTTAAGGGCAGCTGCAGACGCCGGTGGCTGGGCCAAGGTGGGCGCCCTTTTCGGTGGTTAATGGGATTATGGAGAAGAAAGAAGACGGGTCAGGCCCTAGGTGTGGGCATATCCTAACGGCTGTGTCAGCTGTGGGGGAAGAAGGTACGCCTGGGTATATTGGGCCCAGGTTGATTCTATTTGGTGGCGCTACGGCCCTGGAAGAGAATTCTGCTGCTTCTGGGACTCCATCGTCGGCCGAAAGTGCTGGCATCAGTAAGTTATTTTTATTTTCAATTTCATTTTGATTTGATGATGTTAATGTAAGAAACCCTTAAAAAAATTATTGTGGTAAATGCATAGAAATTTGCTATAACCTACAGGTGTCCATATCTGTATTGAGAACATTAAGCAAATTTACGTTAGTATTCTTTAAACCCAACAATTATTGATTAAGGCCATCTCCAGCCCTATCTCTACTCTACTCTACACATCTCTATCTCTACTCTAAAGATGAAACAATAATTCAGCTCTAGCACTATCTCTACTTTACCACCAACTCTACTTTATTCACAATATTTAACTATTAATATGTTTATTTATCTAATTTCAATGTATTTTTATCTATCTTACAATTTAATCTACTTGAATTTATTATATTATGTTTAATTTTTATTTTATTTTGTAGAAATTACAATAAAAAACATAAAAGATAGAATATGAGAAAATAATGTAACAAAGAAAAGGAAAAGAAAAAAAAATAACAAAAGAAAGTAAAAAAAACAAAAACAAAAAATCATAAAAATAACAAAAAAATAATAATAATATGTAGCGCATCTACAGTGCAACTCTAGATGTAGAGTATCATTGTAGCTTTTCTCTACTCTAGCGTTGAAAGTAGAGATGAATTGAAGTTGAAATTCATTTTCAAAGTGGAGATTTTCTGTACTCTAACGATGCACTGGAGATGTCTAAGCAGTTCATATTTGGCGAGAAGCCCTAATTTAATGCAAGGGTAACTTACTTCCAGTTGCTGTCCCTATTTATTGAATTGACAAGAAAACAACTACTGTAAAGGGATAAAGAGGTGGCACTGCAAGTAGAAGGCTGGTTTTGGGGTTTAGGGTATGTAGCTTGGAATCGTGGAGGTGGCATATGAACCTTAGATTCTCTGGGTTTTGTACAATTCAAAATGCATATGATTTTTTTCCGTAAGGAATGCTAGAAGACTAGAAGTGAATATATTCCCTTGCTTCTTGAATTTTGTATGAAATTGAGTTTTATATTTATTATGGTGCTATGGTACATGAATTCAATTTTTGTATGCTCCCCCACCCTCCTTTTTCCTGCCATGCCAGCTCCCAAGACCCTTTAAAGATGTTTTCTGGTCCTAATTTGGACTCTGATATTTCTTAGATATCTTACCTTATTTCTAAGTTAAAAACTAGCAACATGGTTGATTCAGCTTACAGTTTTAAATATCCTTGTTTTGCTTCCAATTGCAAATAATATCAGCTTTATTCAAAAAACAATATGCCTATATCTTCCTGCTGTTATAATTTTTGTTCCTATTTTTTTCTTTTGAAATATTCATGCTGCTTCTATTTATAATTCATGCTCCTATTACTAAGTAAACGTAATTCTTTCTTTTCAAATAATCATGATCTAGTGCATCCACCTAGGGTTATCGGAGTTCAACACATAGACTTCATTTTCTATTTTTAGAATGTATAAAAATCGCTGATGTTTCGATATGTTTTCAAGTAACAATGACTGATTAGGACCTTTGTTTGACTTGATACGAATTCTGGTTCCCTTGCAAATCTGTTTGTAGCATATGGCATATCAAGGATAGTTGTTGTTGCCCCTTTGCCTCTCTTAACAAATAATTCTTAAGAATTTTTCTCTTTTGTGTTGGATAACAGTCATGCTCTAAACTTCTTTTTGTTTGAATTAAATTTCAGGACTAGCAGGTGCCACTGCTGATGTGCATTGTTATGATGTGTTAACTAATAAATGATCTAGGTAAGCCTAGGACTGAGGGTTCATTGCTGCCATTTTGCGCTCCTGATATCTACTTGACTCATTATGTAATTAATCTCACAGGATCACGCCCTTTGGAGAGCCACCTACGCCAAGGGCAGCCCATGTCGCAACTGCTGTGGGAACCATGATCGTTATTCAGGTTAGAGCACTGTAATTAATCATAATTTTATCTTTTTCTCTGTTTACAATTGTTATTAAATAGTGGAGTTTCTTCCCTCTACACTTAGTAATTCCTCACAGAAGCTTTTATTTTGATTTAGGGTGGAATTGGTCCGGCTGGTTTGTCCGCTGAGGATCTTCACGTTCTTGACTTCACACAGCAGCGACCACGGTGGCATAGGTTTGGCCTTGAAGGATGCTTGTTAGACCTTATTTATACTGTTAAAGCTGGTTACTTATGACTTGTGTACTTCAGGGTCGTTGTTCAAGGCCCTGGACCAGGGCCTCGTTATGGACATGTGATGGCTTTGGTGGGGCAAAGGTATCTCATGGCTATTGGTGGAAATGATGGTAAGTAGTTTGTTATTCTGTTTTTCTTGCGTGCATTTTCTTAAAATTATCATGGAAGTTTCTTTTTGTTTTTATTTTAGATTTTCAAATGGATTTTTTTGAACAATGTGCATCATTAGGAAAACGACCTTTGGCTGATGTATGGGCCCTAGATACTGCTGCCAAGCCTTACGAATGGCGTAAATTTGAACCTGAAGGGGAAGGTCCACCTCCATGCATGTAATCTCTCTCTCTCTCTCTCTCTCACACACACATATGCAAACACAAAACTGACGTGGTAGTGTGCCAAAACAACCTTAGATTTTTTGGTCTGTTCTATTTTTATAATTTTGGGTCTCTTAGAAGCAGTATGCAATACATGAAACAAAGTGATACCATGTTTATTGCTAGGTGATTGCAGACTAATTCCTTGTTGACAATTTCTGTTTAAATTGGTATGCGACTGCAAGTGCTCGATCGGATGGTCTCCGGCTCCTCTGTGGAGGGAGGGATGCTAACAGTGTGGTAAGTTGAGAAGTCTGCACTGCGTGGTGTCTAGATTTAAATGTATAACCTAATATATATGATTCTCTAAACACTACGGCATAAGATTACATAATCTTTGGACTGCCATTTATTATTGCTATGGGGCAGATTTCCTTGTTCATTTCGGGTAAAGTTTCTATACATCTTTGCAAATGCTCTCACTAATTTTAAATATATATTTTGTGTAGATAGGGAGAAATATATTCTAATGAATTCTGATTTCGGAATAATTTGAAAATAATAGCAACGTAGACATTTTAAAGATTGATATGAGATGCTTGTAAATGGTGTCATCATTGTCTTTTTTGTACCATTAGATTTTCTCAACCTGTTCGCTCTTCATGTTTTCTTTTTTCTCAGCCATTGGCAAGTGCATACGGACTTGCTAAACACAGGGATGGTCGATGGGAATGTGCAATTGCTCCAGGTGTCTCACCATCACCAAGATATCAACATGCTGCTGTGAGTTTTTCTTTTGTTCCTTGTGCTCATTTTTCAATAATTAGTTCAACCCATTTCTTCAAGTTAGATGTATTACGTATACATGCTATGTTTATAGGTCTTTGTCAATGCCAGGCTCCATGTTTCTGGTGGGGCACTTGGCGGTGGACGCATGGTTGAAGACTCTTCAAGTGTTGCAGGTGCTTGGTCGTTTTTTCCGTTTTTTGACTTCTTTATTACATGATGTAATATGCTGGTGGCTTTTACTGGTAAACACCAAATATTAGTTTGTAAAATCTTAAGGTTTAAACTATATCGCTCAGACTCTTCTGTTTTTATTGAAGTAGTCATGTTTGAAACTCCTATATGGCATATGGATATGGGGATATGACCTCCAAATACTTGGAAAAACATAGAAACATCTAACCATACCCATGTTGGATGCATACCCATATTTGACACTTGCACCCAAGTCCAAATAACATAGGGTTTAAAAGTAGTTTTTTGGGGTCAAATCTGTTATGAACTTCCCCAAATGCTGGTTGCTCTTTCTTCTAGTATAAAAAGATGAAAGGTAGTACATAAAGTAGGGAACAACCATCGTAGCACTCAAAGCTCTCCCGTGTCCACCCTCTCTGATCTCAGTTTTCTTCAATTGTGTACCTGGAGTTTTCCTGCTGTTCCTTTAGTTCTGTCTCTATCTTCCACTTTCTGTGAGAACTGAGAAGTTGCATGAGTTCATTAACATTTTTCATATTATGACTAACAAACCAAAATTATAATTGCTGTTTGATATCTAAATAATCTTTTATCTGAAAGTTGCAAGATTTATTTTTTGCTTGAAGGCTTTATTATCTGAAATCAGGCACTATAAATTTCTGGGAGTTTGTTAAATTTATAGCAAAAAGCAGGCATGCTTAATGTTTTTAGTTTGTTGTATCATAGGAATATGGTAACTGATATGATATTGATATTACATGTTATCAAAGAATTTTTTGTTAAATTGCTGTTTTAGTATTCGACAAATACGAAGGGTTTTTTTTTAATGAGACCTCCAACTATTATAAAAAAGATGTTATCAAAGAAGCGCTATTTTTATAAATCTACTAGTTTCTAACTTATTCCCATTTCTGATAGTGTTGGATACTGCTGCGGGAGTGTGGTGTGATACAAAATCTGTTGTTACTAGTCCAAGGACAGGCAGGTACAGTGCAGATGCTGCTGGTGGAGATGCCTCAGTTGAGTTGACAAGGCTTTGCAGGCATGCTGCTACAGCTGTTGGTGACTTAATATTTATATATGGTGGTTTACGTGGTGGTAAGATAGCCTTTTGTTCTAGAACATGTATTCAAAATCTTGTTCTAGTCTCGGCATGGAGTTGTCAGATAAAAATTAGATTTATATGATATTATATATTGTATACGTATTTGAAATTGTAGTCTTGACGAGGCCTTTCTTCTAACCCACTTTGTGAGATTGAATTCTGGATGTCTGAAATTGTTGAAGAATGATTTTTTTTTTTGGTTCTTTGTGCATTGTCCCAACTTGAAATGCATTCTTCTCTTTTCAGATATATAACATTAAGTTGTAAGAGAGGCTACAAAAGTTTTAAATTTCACTCCATCTTATGTGTTGGAAATTAGAGAAGTTTGTTTCTTTAAAATGTTTGTTTTCGTGAAAACTGAGTTCTTTCCACATATCATGGAGTTTGAGCTGCAGCTATGTATTGGTGCTTAGTGCTTTTATTCGTAAGAGAATCTGTATTTGGTAATTCTAGTAGTGCAGTAATATGTGTTATTTATGCTGTAGGGGTGTTGCTTGATGACTTGCTTGTTGCTGAAGACATGGCTGCTGCCGAGACAACAACAGCAGCTTCACATGCTGCAGCTGCTGCTTCTGATGTGCATGCAGGGCAGTTACCTGGAAGATATGGATCTGGTGGTGAAAGAGAAAAGCAAACAATGCCTGAAGCAGCTCCTGATGGAGCAGTTGTGCTGGGAACTCCAGTTGCTCCCCCTGTAAATGGGGATATGTATACTGACATAAGTACTAAGAATGCCGCGCATCAAGGATCCAGGTAAGATAGAACTGTAATTGTATTTATTTATTGGTTATCAAATGCTTAAGCCTCCTCAACTAATCCAAGGAGCTGCTACAATGTGGTTTATCTTGTAGAAGAATGAGCAAAGGCGTTGAGTATTTGGTTGAGGCTGCAGCTGCTGAAGCTGAGGCTATTAGTGCCACACTGGCTGCTGCCAAGGCACGACAAGTTAATGGAGAAGCTGAACTTCCCTATAGGGATCGAGGGGCAGATGCTATATCTAGTGGAAAACAGATGTCTACCTTGATTAAAATGCCTTATTCTGCTGGGTCAAATGATGTTGCTCCAGCTGGAGTTCGGCTTCACCATAGAGCTGTCAGTATCAGATAGTTTGAATGACATGATACTGTTTTTAAGTCAATATTTGATATTGTTTGTTATCTATGTCTTTGTTACTAATGTTTCCTTTATTCGATAGGTTGTTGCAGCTGCAGAGACTGGTGGAGCTTTAGGTGGGATGGTCAGACAGCTTTCTATTGATCAATTTGAAAACGAGGGCAGGCGGGTTGGCTATGGTACTCCTGAGAGTGCAACTGCAGCAAGGACACTATTAGATAGGCAGATGTCGATCAACAGTGTCCCAAAAAAGGTACTAATATCCTTTTTTGTGTGTCATAAAGCAAGACCTGTGTGTTTAGAGGTAATTGCTGATGTGTCTACAAATAAAAAAAGAAGAGTTGAATAGCAGTAGCAGGATCTTTCAATTTGAAAGGTTTACTTTATAGTTTAAGATATTGTTGTAGCATTTACTTCATTGCCATGAGATTAATTTTAGTTTATCTGTGCTAAGATGAATCTTTTCTTTTTATGACACTTGATAAATTTAGGAGAGTAATATATTTTTGAACTCTCAATAGAAGGTGATAGAGTTCTACCTTATTCTATCCTTTTGGGTTCACATTTAATACCCTCATATGTATATATGCTCTTTATTGTTCGTTAGGTTATTATTTCCCTTGATATGTGTTGATTTACAGAAGGATCGATACAATCAAAGCAGTGAAAGAAATCTCATTGGCATCTTTCTCTGCTTAAATTCTGATATAGAAGGAAAGGGAAAGAAAAAGCTTGTTTTCCTAGTGATTATTTGTCGGCTAGATTTCATTACCATGCCTTTAATGCATTATAAAATCTTATCTTTGTTTTGCAATCCTCATGAATGCATGCCAGTATTAAAAACTAGATTATCAATTTTATATAGCGGCTTGGAGAGAATTCCTCTGTGAGATTTCTCTTGTCCGATTTGAGAAAATCCATTTTTTCTTGAATATGCCAGTTTAATAATGTGACTGATAATTCTTATACATTGAAACCTCAGTTTTGTTTCAGTTGATTATGAGATACTGTTGAATGATAGTTCTGATAGGATTTTATTAGAAGTATTCAATTAGTCTTGCATCTGTATTCCTGTTTTATCTGTCAAAATGCTTCCTTGCTAAATATAATGAAGAGTCTATGTCATTTTGTCCAGGTCATAGCACATCTTTTGAAGCCTCGTGGTTGGAAACCTCCAGTTCGTCGACAGTTTTTCTTAGATTGCAATGAAATGGCAGATCTCTGTGAGAGTGCTGAAAGAATATTTGCTGATGAACCAACTGTTTTACAGCTGAAAGCTCCTATTAAGATTTTTGGTGATCTACATGGACAATTTGGGGACCTTATGCGCCTTTTTGATGAATATGGTGCACCTTCAACAGCTGGAGACATTGCGTAAGTCTGGTTAAATTCCTGTTTCCTGAAGGCTCTTTACTGGAAATGTTTAAAATTTAAATTAACTAGGCTTTCAACTGACCTTTTTTAATATCTATTAACTACTGTTGTCTCTCTCTCACGTGTAACCTCCATGTGCTGTATTGCATCTCATTTTTAATCTTGACATTTATTTACTCGATATTGGTTTGGTTTAAATTACTATCAGATATATCGATTATCTCTTCTTAGGAGATTATGTGGACCGGGGTCAACACAGCTTGGAGACCATTACTCTTCTGCTTGCATTGAAAGTAAATTTGGAAATTTCATGCTTTGATCATCTTCTCATGATCACTTTTACATCCTGTTGAAGTTTGTGATGAGCCTAGATTTTCATGTAATTATGTTATGTTTCAGGTTGAGTATCCCCATAATGTCCATTAATTCGGGGGAATCATGAAGCTGCAGATATTAATGCACATTTTGGTTTCCGGATCGAGTGGATTGAGCGCATGGTATTGTTTCACATTGTGTTTGAAAGATGTTAGTCATGTTTTTTATAGTGTTTCTGTCACAATTCTGATGGCTTGCCACAGGGTGAGAGAGATGGAATATGGGCATGGCATCGCATAAACCGTTTATTCAATTGGCTTCCTCTGGCAGCTCTAATTGAAAAAAAAAATCATTTGTATGCATGGTGGCATTGGTCGGTCTATAAATCATGTGGAACAGATTGAGAATCTACAGCGTCCAATTACAATGGAAGCAGGCTCGATTGTTCTTATGGATTTATTATGGTCAGAGCATGTTACTATTTTGTTTAAGTCCTCAAATATAATATTTATTGCTTTAATTTACTGATTTATTTTACTGGCTTTATATTCTAGGTCTGATCCAACGGAAAATGATAGTGTGGAAGGGTTGCGGCCAAACGCCAGAGGTCCAGGGTTGGTTACTTTTGGGGTGAGTGTGCTACTTTAGAACCTTTTTTTCTTAAAACTACAACATTTTAAGTTCTTTCTAGCTGTGCATTTTTCATTGGTTTCAACATTTGTGGAGGTACTTGCTTGGCAATTTGCTTGCATATTGTGGTACCTGGTTGATCTCCATATTGCTCCCATGAACCTGCTTCGCTTTCAATTTTCATCTCTCACTTTCTCACACGCATACACTCGGGAACAAACTGCTTCAAGGGGATGGCGCTCTCTTTAAGATACCCTTGAAAGTCGAAAGTTTTTTACTTAAAATATTGTTTATATTGCTTGTGTTCCCTTTCCCTCTTGTGCAAGTCATTCCTGAGCGAAACTGTATTTTCTTATTACTTCAATGATGATTTTGCGTTTTATGCTTATATAAATGGTTCTTGCAGCCTGACCGTGTTATGGAATTCTGCAATAACAATGATCTTCAGTTAATTGTTCGTGCTCATGAGTGTGTTATGGATGGCTTTGAACGTTTTGCTCAGGGACATTTAATCACTCTTTTCTCGGCAACCAACTACTCTGGCGTGTCCCTGATCCTTGCTTTAGTATACATGCAATTTGTCAGGTTCGGACTATTTAGCCTTTAAGTTTTGTTTCATGCTTGAATTTTCAGGCACTGCAAATAATGCTGGCGCAATCTTAGTTTTGGGTAGAGATCTAGTGGTAGTCCCGAAACTTATTCATCCTTTACCCCCAGCAATGTCATCGCCAGAAGCATCACTGGAACGTCATCCAGAAGATACATGGATGCAGGTGCCTCCACTTTCTCCTTGTCATTTCTGTATCCTTTTACTTACTACGTGCATAGCTTCTTATACTGTTGCTTATTTCTTTTAACCCATGGGATCAGGAGTTGAATGCTAACAGACCTCCGACACCTACTAGAGGTCGTCCTCCAGAGGAAAACGGTCGAGGTTCTCTCGCTTGGATATAATACATCCTTCCAATTGTTTCTAAATACTCATGCTAACACATGATTATTCTGCTGTTCTGTATAAGAGCAAGATGCCAAATACAAGCATTTCCAAACTTGTAATATCTCCCGTAACGAAGTTTGAAGGCTTTGACTTTGGTTTTTCGCCGGTTTTCAGCACACGGTAGGCCTTGAGAGTATGAAAATGCAAAGTTCCGTTCTTGATAGTATGATAGATACAAGATAGAGAATGTGGGCGGCAGCGTAGGTTTCGTTTTTGGTAGTGTTGAACGTGCAAAATTCAGGTGTAAATTGAGGCACAGCCAAGTATCAGTTGGGTGGTTTCTTCAAATGGGTAGAGTATTTTTCACATTTAGTTTTTTCTTTAATATTATATTTTATATCCCTTTTTTAAGGGCTGATATATTTTTGCGCCGCGCCCTTTGATGTTGGTTATATGTGATGATGAGAGATAATATTAAAAAAGAGAGTATGCTGGCGTTGGTTGTATCAAGAGGTGTTGATTGGTGTGAAATTCTTTTTATGCTTTGTACAATAATGTAATGTTTGTGGGAAGACGACCAACTGTTGCTCAACTATGGAAGTTTGCAGATGATTTTGTTGGGCCAACCATGACTCATGCTCGAGAGATGAAAACAGTCCACCAATTCCTTAATTATATTAGCCACAAATAGGCAAGAGAATCATACAAAATCTCTACTATATATATCTCTCCTCGGGTATTTTTTTTTCTTGGGATTTTAACTACTACACAATCACCCTCCTCAGAGTGGATGTGGAAAAAACTAGTTAGGAGAGAACAAAAATAATAATAAAAGTAATATTATAGGGATGGATTTTGATCATCAGGAAGTCGCAATGCAATGTGGTGGCCAGAAGAGAAGTGACCTCCTATGTTCCTTGTACCGTTTCAACAATGGAACAAACTCATCACCTTTTATCTTCCCTTTCATTGCTTGTGACTGTTGATCAAGTGCCGCTGCCGCTTGTCCCTTTGACATGCCCTGATTCGGCCTCCTCCTGTAGCACTCATAAGCATTCAATGATACAACTGTGCCTGCTCCTGCCACCGCCGAAATTGGCCTGGACACCGGAGGATGTGGTGGCAATGACTGTGGTGGGGCTGTTGGCTTTACTTTTCCCTCCTTTTCGTCTCCGAATTTGACTATTCCATTGATATCTTTAGGCCATGTTGGGTTCCTATTTGCTGACCACATCGGCTTGTTCATCATTACGGCTAACCTGTGCACATTGATTGCTTCACTAGACAGTTTAGGAGCCTCCTTAATTTCAGAAAACCTATCTTGGCTTTCCTCCCCTTCTTCATCGATGTCTATTTCACTTTCTTTTACTCCAAAGCTTTCAAACTCTTCTTCCAACTCTTCCACTTCCATTACTTCTTTTTCAGCACTATTGGTATTGGCAAAAGTGAGGACAAGGCGACCGTCTTGGCGTTGAGCAAGAAAGTTGTTCAAACAAGGCGTTGAAACAGCTTCAATGACCAATCTTCCATTATCACGACGAGTCTTCAACCGCCTCGATGCTCCGTCTTTGGCCGGAAGGGATGAGATTGGCGGAGGAAATGACGGGTTTGACGTTTTCTTGCCAACATCGTAGTTATGTTTCGCAATTATTGCTTCCTTTTCCCCATGGAAACAAGGCATAACCATCGGTGCCACCGGTTCTTGTTTTTGGTACAATAGTTGTTGATCCTCTCGTTTATCTTCCTCCATATCATCGGTTTCCGAAGAAAACCCATCGAAGCCGGTCTCGGAACCAAGGCTCTCGGTGCAAATTTCAAGGCTCTTCTTGCTTAAACAGCTACCTGATCGCTTCACGAGAGGGTGAATATAAGGCGGGGAAGAGTTCGAAGCCTCTTCCACGGCCTTTTGTGACACGATCGAGCTCCATACATCCAACTGGCCTTGATTTTCAACTTCCTCCTTCTTCTTTCGTTGAATTGAAGCCCAGACATCGGGTTGACTCGGCGCTTCATTATCGTCTTCCCCTTCTTCAAACGATGAAGAAACAGGGAATTCGTGGGATGAAGGACTCTTTTTCAGGGGAGACAACATGAACCCTAGTTGTGTCAACGACATATCGGTCGACAAAGTTCTTCTAAGCGAAGTAGCTTTGGCAGCCTGTGTGTCGGAATCCGATACGAGAATGGAGACTATGCCTTGCTTCTTGGTATCCATGGCGTCTTCAGGTGTTGCAAAGTAATTACACAAATTTATCTGTCAAAAGTTGAAAGAAACAAAACAAAAGAGCTTAGGAAATAGGTATAGCTAAACAACAAATAACAAGTTACAAAGAAACATGCATGCATGCATGTTGCTTATAAGGTACATGTCGATAATCATAGTAATAAGAAGAAGAGAAAAATAGATTAGAAATGAATTTACCTTATTGTTAATAACAGAAAATATGTAGTAGCAGCAATAGCATCCAGCAGAGGTTAGACCTCTGCGGGAATGCTTTTGCTTGATTTTTTTTATGTAAATCAGAAAATGCTTGATTTTTTTTTATGTAAATCAGAAAATGGAAATGGGTTTCATTGATGATGGAGCAATGCAGTTGGGGGGTATTTGTAAGGAGGCTTTGGAATCATGTCCATTGGTCCCCATCCTCCACTGCTTTCCCCGTTTTTTCACTTACATAAAAGTTGGTGATTTAAAAATTAAAAAACAAAGAGAGTAAGAATATAGTGTTAAAAGTGGTGTTACCAGGGAGGGTGGGACAGAATCATAATATTAACTCTCGAGACCTAAAGTATAATTTATGGGTAAACTACATGTTTAATATTTAAACTATTAACTATCATCAAGCTCAATTGGTATTAAACTTGGGGTCGTGGGATCGAGTCCCACGGAGGGCATTTCATAATTCGGAGGTCTCATACGGAAGTTGCTAAGCCTACTATCATACCTCCCCCTTATCCCATTACATATGGGAATAAGGGTCAGCTAATTTTTTTTTAATTTCGGTTCGTTTTAGCATCTAAACTTTTAAAATTTTAAAACTTAATGTTGAGTTTTTAATGAGGTATTAAACTGAAACAATAATTAAATTTTAATTATGATTTAAAAAAATTAAAAGTGTAAATATTAAAACATACCAAAACTAATAATTGAGGTACTAAACATGTAATGTACCCAAAATTCATTTAATCTTAGACCGATATGAGTTTTTTCTTCTTCTTTTGAATAGTATAAAAGTGATTATGAGATGATATTTATTCATATTTTAATTTATTATTATATACATATTATATGTATACACAATTGCAACTTAAAATTTAAAATATTTATTTTTTTAACATTTAAACAACTCAACTCAACGAATTAGGATTTAATTTTTTTTGAACAATAGTACTTAAAAGTGATGTTTGAGATTGAGTGTTTAGACAGCTAAGAGTAAGTTAAGAATGATTAAACATTATAAGGAATAGGAGTCTGAACATGCTTGGCCCGACAGCTTTTGTTAAACCGAATTATCAAACCGAACCGGATTATGGAAGCGACCCGAGTCTAATCAACACAAGAGACAACCTTCCTTCCTCTCCCTCTTTTTGGGTAAATCACGCCTTAATATTTAAACTATTAGTTTTTGTGCATTTTAGTATATGCTTTAGTATTTGAACTATTAGTTTTTATCCATTTTAGTATATAAACTTTCAATTTTTCAAAATCATATTTAATGTTTAGTTTTTGTTTCATTTTAGTACCCCAGTCGTTAAAAGCTTAACGGACAGGTTAACTAGGCATAGCTTTGATGGACGGCCAATCGATCTGAATGGTAGACCAAAAGAGAATGAAGAATCGACCAACATAGTATAGTTTCAGGCCCATCAGTCGGTTTACGACAGAGATTGGAGAATGAAGAAGTCGAAGAGTTTATCGTTGATTTGAGGAGATTGAGGCATTTTCTGGTGAAACAAAGGCCGAAATCACGTTCATGGAGTTGAAAAGGTGTGTGTTGAAAAGTTTAGGCTTCACTGACCGACATATGCGATGGTCGGCGAGTTCTTCCGTTAAGTTTTTAAAGGTGGGGTGTTAAAATTAAGCAAAAATTAAACGTTAGGTATGATTTTAAAAAATTTAAAAATTTAAATACTAAAATAGACTAAACTGATAGTTTATGTACTAAATATGTAATTTACCCTTTTTTAATAAAAAAATTAAATCCATGTGATTTTAAAAAAATCAACTCAAATCAATCTCATATGTAATTTTTTTATTAATATATGATAAGTACAAGACAATACTTGTTAAAAATAACTCTCAACTTTTTTATATTAAATACTCATACCTTTGACATTTGTGGTACTCGACACGAATCCTCAAGAATAACAATAATTTCTTTAAACAGATAAAAATAATTTTATAATTATTAATTATTTAAAAGGTTCTATTTTTTTCTTAATTAAATTATTACTCCATTGCCTTATTATATCAAATTTAATAGTAGGCAGATGAAAATATATCGGAGTCGAGTCAGAATGGAATCCAGAATGATCGTGCAATCATCAGGTTGGTCATCAAATTTTGCAATGAAGTCTACTGACGTGGACTAATTACTAGTTAGTTTCGTCTTTATTTAATTAATACATAATTATCGGGGTTAATTATTGTTAGACCTTTAACAAATAGCTAACATGACACGATAAATTTATAAAATTAAAAAAGTAAATTACAGAGATAGTCACTAATGTTTGAATAATTATCATTTTACCCATTGAATATTAAAAAATAATAAATTAGTCACTAAAACATCAAATAGGTTTTTGAATAATGATTTTATATCTAATTTATTTTAAAAACTTTATAATTTTTTGTTTATCATTCAAAATATTCGATTGCTTCATATCCAATGCTACACATGATAACTCATGCATAAAGCTATGACATAAGAAGCTAGGTCATATAAGTGAGATCGATTGCAAGTTCTAGCTTAAAAAGAGCTTCTTATGAATGCTTCAAATTTGATAAAAAAAAATTGGTGCATCTATCTTGGCATACCTCAAGACAAGTCTTGTTTATCGATTATGAGAATGGGGATAGAATTTTAATTCCTAATCTTAAATTTTAAATAAGATATATGATAATATTTATGCTCTGTTGTGAAATTAATTTTATCATTATATGAGTAATAATTCAGATTAAATTAATCTTTTTAAAAATAATCCGCATAGAATTTAAAATGGATTAGTTTATCCTAAAAATGGATTAGTACCTAAACTATCAGTTTGGTCTGTTTTAGTACTTAGACTTTTATTTTTTTTTTTGAAACTTAACTTTAAGTTTTTAATGAGTACTAAAATGAAATAAAAACTAAACCTATATATGATTTAAAAAAAATGAAAGTTTAAATACTAAATGCGTAGTTTATCCTAATTTCTAACCATTTTGTGTGGGTGTCAAAAAATTGAAATGAAAAAGAGAAGGGACTCTAGCAAGAGGTTTCAATGTCATAGCTAAGCCTTTGAAAGCTCAAACTTCCCTAAGAGCCAATCTAACGCTTATGATATTAGAAAATTTCAATAATTCTATTCAATTATATGTACGAGATGTTAACGAATTTTAAGGTTTATGGCTACAAAGCTTCACACGAATTTTAAGGTTTTATATTAGTAAAATTTACGTTCTACGAGTACCTTTGAACATCATTAACGAAAAATATTGTTATGCATTATTAATTTAATTTAAAAAAATTCTAAAGGACTCCAATATAATTATAAATTAATAAAAAATATAAAGATAAACTATTTAAACGAGGAAAAAATTAGGATTTTTTAATTTAAGGGTTGGTCTTTGATCCGATTGTTGTTAAAAATATTATGAAAAATAATGTAATTAATTTTATATTAAATAATTTATCTTTAAATTTTTAACTAATTTATAATTATACGTTGAATCCTTTAGAATTTTAAAATTTTATAAATTAAATTAATGATGCTCAACAATGATCATCATTAGTGGTGCTCAACGATACTCGTCAAACATGACAGACTCATCTTTTATATTATTATAATCTTAGTATATGTTATATATTTATAGGATCCTTACTTGAATGTAAATAAATATAATATGCAAGAAATATTATTTAATATGAATTCTTAATTTTTTTTGGATATGTAAAATTGTATTCATCTAAAAGAAAGCAACAAAGCTCCTACAAGAAACATTACAACCAGCTAGATTAGCCCCCAATCTATGCACAATGTCTATTTACACCATCCATCTTATTCATGCGACATCTATACAACTTAATCCTAACAACTCCTTTATAACATTTACAATTGTATCAGCCGAACGAATCAATCCTCTAAAAAGCCTATGATTACGTTCTTCCCATATGAAGTAAACAAAACCAGTCCAAGCTAATTTAAGAACATGAACTAAGAGAGACTTACCCTTCAAAATCAATATCATCCAACGAAGAGTGTCATCCCAACAATTTTGCTACTGCTATTGCAGCCCACAATAGTGCATAACAGCACCCCATACCTCCCTCGAACAGGAGAATTCCAAGAAGATATGGCTTCGAGATTCCATCCCAGCACCACATAAACCATAAACATTGTCAGTCACCTTACCAAACCGAGCAAGTCTATCTTTTGTAGGCAATCTGTCAAGTATTGCCATCCAAGAAACTAAAGAAAATTTTGGGACATGAGCTGGAAACCATATAAGTCGATGCCAACTAACCTTATCCCTCCTTACCCCAATATTATCCCAAATCCAGCCACCTTTAATTTGTAACTAATTAGCATAAGTACTGAACAATCTCCTAGCCTCCACACGCAACTTAATCAATTTACTAAGGATCCAGTTGAAATGAGGCTTACATTCAACACTCCAATGATCCAAAAATTTAAAACAATAGTCCTTAATCCATGCAATCCACAATGACCCTTCACCAGCTAAAATATTTTTAACAAGCATAAGGCAACAAGCTTTACTCCAATCAGCCAGATTCCTTAATCCCATACCACCCTCAAATTTTAAGGAACATACCTGATTCCAGCTCACCCTAGCTCTTTTAGTCGAGCTACGTTGCCCTTAAAAAAACGCATGCAAAGTCTTTCAATGTCTCTAATAACACCCTTAGACAGGATAAGTTGCCTACTCTAATAATTAAAGATGCTAAAATGAAAAGTCTTCACAAGTTGCAACCTCCCACCAAAACTCAGTTTCCTACCGGACTACTGTCTAAGTTTGTCTTTAATCCTCACCAGCAGAGCTGAGCAATCCTTCCCCGTAAGCTTTCGGGTCACCAAGGGCACCCCAAGGTACCTGACAGGAAGTTATCCAACTCTAAACCCAATAGCTCTTTGAATCTGATCCAGTTCACCCTCATACAATCCACAAGCAAAGAGTTCAGTCTTTAAAGCATTCAATCTAAGTCCAGAGAGTTCATAGAATTTGTCTAAGGTACTTACAACTCCCAACACAAAATCCAGAGATCCATGGCAAAACATAAGCAAGTTATCAGCAAAATCAAATATGAATTCTTAATTATTAAAAATTAAAAAAATATTTTTTGTACGAGTTGAATGTTGGACATGAGAGTTTCTAAATCCATCACAAATATCTTTTTTTTTCCTTCAATTTATTTTTTACACCAAATGAATCACACCATAAACTTTTGAGACTGGATTAAAATAAAATTTGAGTTCAAAACTCTAACTATAATATGAAACTAGAATATTATTTTTATTAATATATATTTAACTGTTAAGATTTTTTATATCAAATAAATAATTATATTTTCATTTTACTCAATACTATATATATAATCTAAAAAGAAAAAATATGACCAGACAAATTGTTAAAATATTATTTATAAAAGAAATTCAGTATTGTGCAAAAGGATTTTTAATTTTACACTTATATAAATGAATTGATATGATATCTCTATAAAGTCAATAGAAAATATTAATTACATAAATGTTGATTTATTTTTGGACAAAGTACACAAATGATCCCCAACTATAGTATAATGTTTATTAGGTCTCTTGACTATTAAAAGTTATAAAATGGTCCTAATCATAGTATAATGCTTTATTGAATCTCTTGACTATTAAACGTTACAAAATGGTCCCCCGATCATAGGAAGTTGTTTTGTTGAGTCTTTCGACTATTAAAAGTTATAAAATGGCCACTCAACTATTCATTATTTTCCAAATCTGACACCAGTCTGAGCTATATGTTAACCTGCTGACTGAGATATGAAAATCTTATCTCATAATCTCATACGACTATCATATTTCAATCAACATGTTTAAGTCCAACTCAGACGAGCTTTATTTTTTTAACGAAAAATGACAAGTTTGGAACATAATGAATAATCGAGTGACCATTTTGGACTTTTAATAGTGAGAGACTCAATAAAGTAACTACATATAGTTGGGGGACCATTTTGTAACTTTACTAGTCAAGGGACTCGATCAAGCAATATCCTATAGTCGAAGGATCATTTGTATATTTTACCTTTTATTTTTACATTCAAATAACTTTTCAAAAACATTAAATGAAATTGAATTTAGAACCTTAAATAACTCTGTAATCATTAGATGTGCGACGCGTATCAATATGAATTAATCATGATGAAGTCTTGAAATTAGGAGGACAAAAAAATTTCTACAACCTCTGTGGTGTCGATAGCATTACTTTTTTGAGATTCAAAATTGTTTATTTTTCAAATAAAATAGAATTAATAAAACGAAAACTAAGTAAAAAACGATTTTTAATGGAAAATTGTTTTTTTTTTTCGTTTGGAATCTTGAAAATTAGTAGGAAACTTTCGTATACGAGAACATGGCACTAGCCATTAGCAATACTTTTGTTAATAAAAAATGCTGTTGAAAGGGAGACCATGCATTATGGAAAGGTGAGCATGAGGTTCTGTCCACCCAATAGCAGTATACGTTTATCTTGAAATTTGAAATTGTTTAGATAATAGTTTAATATAATAATTATGTTCATCAAAAATTTTTATTTAAATTTACCTCGTATAAAAGTTTATATTTCAATCCTTCACTGTCACCCAACATAAGCTTTAACAAGTTTTTACAATTTAGTTTAATTATTAGTTTGTTTCTTTTGGTCCCTTTCACATTTAATCTTTGATCAATATTTAAATAGTTTAATATAACACTCGTCTTGGGAGGGCATGAATCTCTTGAGAACACAGTATAAAATCCAGCTCATATTATTCCTGGTGATTATAGGATGATGTGTTTACAAGGCGGTTTGGTGCAAAGCAATGGAGCATGGATTGAAATCTTTGGTTCCAAAAGCTTATTCAGATTTGGTCCTAAAGTGAAGGGTGAGAAGGGGACAAAAGAAAAGAGAACCCTTTAATGCAAAGGCTAGATTTCCGATCACAACTTAATTAAAAAGTGTTTGGTCAAAGGGAAAAAAAGGGTAAGAGCCTTACTCCATTAAGGAGGAGACCTACCCTACCCTACCCCAAATGAATGCTCCTAATCATTTTTGGGAGTTTGAGTTATATATAGGAAATGTGATTGTAAATTCTACATTTCCTGTCTTAATTTGTTTAAAATAATTTAGTTATATCAGTGGTGTAAATGACTTTAACCAATTTGATTGGAAGAACTTTATCTACCTTAATAGTTACTTTTTTTATTAGTTGGAGTAAATATAATGTAGTTTTTGTTTGAAAGACTCTCAATCATTTGACAATGAACGCTCATGTATATCTGCAAATATCGTACTTAAACCCGAGATTTCAAAGAATGACAACAATCCTTTAACTACCGAGCTCACTTAGTTCATGCTAATAAAGGCAAACTACACTCAAGGTCACTAGACAATTAGTAACATTATTGTCGTCACGTTTTCGCCTGGGACATTGAAAAATAGAGTTACGACAAGGAATGTCAATTTTTAAAATTGAACTAAGTCATAAAAAATTAGAGTCATCATCGACCTTTTGGTTAGGTATGCCGAATACCTAGAAAACGTCTTAAAAATGAATTTTAGAAAAAATCATTTAAATACAAAAATTGGTCTGTGTTTAACCAGAGATTCATTTTTAAGGATTCGGGAGTCGATTACGCGTGAGGAAGGGTAAGCACCCCCACAGCACCCAAGATTGTACCCCTCTATTATACGTTGTCAAAAATGATGAAATTTTACAAATTTGAACTCTAAATTTAAATTATGATCCTTATCATTTCTATGATTATTTAGACTGAGTGAATTCATTTTTAAAATGTTTGATTCAATGAAAGATTTAATTCACTCGTTTTTATTGAAAAACGATGTCATATTACTACGTGAATTAACTAAAATTGAAATCCAGTCATTTTGGACTTAATTTTGTTAACCCACGATGCGAGATAACATTGTCTTAATCGTTTAGAAAATAAGAAATCGAATACATGGCCCATGGATACATTAGTAGATGGCATATACAAGGTGGATGAAATAAAGCATTAACAAAATAAAATAATAAAACTAAACAAGGATGAACAAATGATTAAACAATAACAAATAAATAGAAACCTAAAATAAGTGAAAAGGAAACATTTATACTTGATAAGGTAATTATGTAAAAATAACACATATAATATATCTATCAGTTATTAAAAAAATTAAAATGAATGGAAATATATAAATAATAACATTAAAAACATTTTATTCGAATAGCCATCAGAAGGGCACCTCAGATATTTGGGGATCTTCCATATATTAGTTGAATAATAACAAACTTTAAAGATATTAAAGCATTAAACAAACATTTATATTTAAAAATACATAAATAATAAAATAAATGTTATCTTTAATAATAATAATATACACATATGACAATTATCATAAAAAGCAAATTTGGTGATATACAAGTGCATGTGTCGATAAAAAGGCATCATTAAAAAAATATAATTTTATATAATATTATATATTATATATTTACATAGAGATATGAGATAATAATAATAATAATAATAATAATAGTAATAATAATAATAATATAAAAAATGAACAAATAACAAATACAATGGCCAACTAGGTGATTATACATTTTAGTTTAGGGCTAATTTGAAACAAATTAAAGTTATAATGTCTAAACATGAAAATAGTCGATAAAATTATAAAAGGGGACTAAAATGTGACACACGTAAAACTTAGAGGCTAGGAACATAAATAACCCATAGTAAACTATATTAATTAGAGCAGTGACAAAAATGAAAGCATGGCAACATCAAAGGACTAAAAAATATAATTAATCCATATGTTTCATGACCAAAATAATAAATTACAAACGAAAAAGGATTGAAAGAGTAGTTACTCCAAAAACCCAAAACGCGTGGTTCCTAGATGGTAAAACGACGTCGTTTTAAATCGAGTATAAATACCCCTTTTAGCCCTTCTTTTTCATTCTTTTCTCATTCTTTTTTTAGAGATAGAAGATCTCTCTTCTCTCTAAATTGTGGCCGCATTTTTAGGATTTTTGGAAGCTCGATTTGACAACCGGAACGATTTGCAAAGAGGGGTCAGAACGGTTTTTGAGTTTAGGGAGTAAGGAGATTGAAAGATAGAAAATTGCACAGCGATTTAGAGTGGTTCGACTTTCTAAACCAAAGTCTACGTCCACTACCTTAGCTCCTCACCAAGGA